TTTTTTTAAAATTACTTGAAAATTTTTATTGGGTTAAGGTAAGACTTACTACTTCAAACCAGTCTTAGCTGGTCAGCCCCCAGGAGTACAAATAAGTAATCACCTTTAGGAGAGACTACACTTGATGGAACATCGGGGATTCTGATTTCTGCTTGTTGTGGCGTTTACCTCTTGTGTTCCCCAGAGGATGGCTAAAGGCAGCTGGCCCAGTCCACAGCTCTTTACCATCTGTAAGCCCTTTCCATCTTGAGGATGTCTATGTTTTCTATTAATGCTGCGCCGGCATGATGGAGAGGGAAACTGGCTTTAAACTAGCAATTACCATTGCCAAATCTTTGACAGAAAAAAGCCTACTCTAGAACTCTGGAACAAACCTCAGAGGGCAGCAGGATTCCTGGCTCTTTTTTCTGACAATCCCACTGTACTTGCACAGACTTTCAAATTCTAATACCTCAGCTCAAATATCAATTACTAAGAATGAGTCAAAAAATAAAAGGAGGCAAATTAGAAAACATCATAGCTAGCATAATACTGGAAAACTGTACTACAGCTTCCTTTCTAAGCATGTTACTTGATAAAATTTTTCATCAAAATCCCTTGTAAATGTTCCCTAGAATAAGCACATGTTCTGGGAATTATCAATGTTACAATAATTACAATAAATGAATATTTATATATTATGGCAATTAATATATTAAATTATATTCTGTGGAAGCTTTCATGCTTTCCCTTTGGAAAAGGATAGTTTAAAAATGTTTGATGGTTAATAAAATGTTAATGTATCCCCAGAGTCACTGAAAACTTACTTTAACCCAAGACCTCTTTTCCTTTTGTACAAAAGGATCAGACTATGGCAGTTGCTTTAAAGGTGTGTTAAAGAAGAAAAAAGGCATGACAAAGAAAAGAAACTACCTGCTCCCTTTCTACCATACCTACTGTAAACAGGACATTGCTAGAAATTGGAATGGATCTTTGCAAACTAATTAGATTTAAAATTGAATAGTTCAAAGGTATGACTGCTCACTAATTTATTTCCTGACAAAATTAAACTTTGAAAAAACCTGTTATTTGCTATGCATAACTGTGATTTAAAATAAGAGTCAATACCTTGCCTGGACCTCATTTCTTTCACCTATTTAAGGTGATACTATTATTTAGTGTGTAATGAGGGGAATTTAATAAAATGTACACTCTTATTTTATCATATAAATAAAAAATGATTATACTTTCAAAAGAAAGACATCAGGGCTTCATATAGTTTATTACTTTTCTAAAAAAAAAAATACCAGTTAGGTTTGCAAATAACTTTGTGTTATTTACTTTCAGTGATAACTAGGTTGGCATTTCCTCTGACTATATTTGAAACCATTTGGAGAAAGCTATTTTGAAATGTGACTGAACAGGTTACTTTGACATAAGTAACCAAAATGTGAAACTGATTATGTACTTTATTGATTTATATTTTCATTATATCCATTATTAATCCAGAAAGTGGGCTGGGTGAATTCTCAGATGGAAGGGAGGGCTTGCCTTCCTTTTTGGCTGGAGCTTCTGTAAAGAAGTAAGAGCCAATAACTTGACCTCAGGAAGACTTTTGCAATAGACCAGCTGTGTGGACATCATATCCCCTTCTGGGTTAAGAGGATTCTCTGATACTTGAATGGCATTAAGCAGGAGCTTCTAAGCATTTTTTAGTGACCTGGGAAAGTACACTTGTCATTTAAAGTTTCCCCCGCTGCATTTGGAATGAAATCCAGGACCCTTACCCCGGCTGGCTTCTCATACTCTGCTTTTCCTTTACTCCTCCAGCGCTTTTCGCACTACCCATTAGCTATGTTTTCCTTTGCTGGAACACTGGCTCTTCCTGCCCATCTGAAAAGTTTTGCATCCTGGTCCCTTTGACCCAAATGCCTCTTTCTTCTAGTTTTGTCTGGTCAACACTTCCTCCTACTTCTGGGCTTGGCCTCTCCACTGTCTCCTTAACCATTCAATGAAATAAAGCTTCCCTTGCTATTCTGCCTTACGACTCCCTGATTTCCTTCCTAGTGCTAATTCAATTTGAAATTATTTGAAAGTTTATTTATTGGACTTCTCTTCTCCAGTGGACAATGTGGTCCTTAAAAATCAAGTCTCCTGTATTGTTCACTAGCATACACTCAGAATTTGCAGAGTTCCCAGAACACTGTAGGTGGTATGTGGATGAATGGATAAACATAAGGCCAAAAAGAATCTATTAAATATATGAATTAAAAAATTAAAGATAATGTACTAATAGTCAGTGGCTGTTATGCATTGATTATTGCCCCTACATTTTTCCTCCTTAGAGTAATTTTGTTTGTTTAACATTATTTCAGGCCTTAAATTAAGAGAAAAACCTTCAATTTCAGAAAGAAAAAACTTGGTAAAAATGTTTAGGTTTATATATCTGTGACAAAAATAAACTATATTAGAATTAATTATATATAGTTCAGTGATTTAGATTTTTGTTTTTAGGAAATCAGAGAATATTTCAAATAAAGTGGATGGCTAATTATAGAAAGATGAGTCTTCTGTGACAAACGGTATTGTTTTTAACACATTAAAATGAATGATAAAGTGAGGCCAAAATGAAAAACAAATGAAGTAAGTGAATAAAATACTTATAAAATTCTGGTTTCAGTGTGTGAAAAGTACAAGAAGACCACTGTTGTTCCTCTGACTTAGGTCAGGTAACTTTTATGGATCACTCTGAGTTCCAAGAAAGTCGGAAAAGAGCTCCTGCTTGATTGCTGTTTCAACATAATTTAGTTCAGTGCTTTTCATCTGAGATTTTGAATGGGTACTCTTCAAAAGCACCCCTCTGTTTTAATTGATGAGGACTGAAAAGCTGATGCAGCATTCTGTGTCAAAGAAGTGCATGAATATATTCATGGGCAATAACATGTCGCAGAAGGAAAGAAGCCCTAGTATCAGCTCTTAGTTCACTGCTCTCACTATCACAAATTCCTGCATTAACTTCTTCATTTATTCATTAATAATTATTTAGAATTTGCTGTGGATCTGGCCCAGGGGAGGTCCTTGGAAATATATGGTGAGCAAAGCAGGGACAATTTCTGATGCTTCCATAAGCAAGTGTTGTTGACTTCAGTAAATATGACTACTGCTATAACAGGATTACACTGCTTTTATTTTTATTCAGTCACTTATAAGACAGTACTGTAGCATCTTTCTCAAGCACTACATTAAGTAAAATGGTTCTCTATAGTTGTTCTGGCAACTTAAACATGAAATTATCCTTCCTTTATTCAGTAGATTTTTCTTCTTTTATTTATCATATTCTTCTGATTTTTGCATCAGTAAAATGACTGCATATTTAAGGACTTCATTTCTTCACTGTTTAAAACAGATAATTCCAAAGCTGAGTGATATTTGGCCAATACTGAAGTCCATGGCTTCTGGCTTGATGTTTATTAACCCTTTTTGAGAAGACAAACCTGGAAGGATCCAGCAGGACTTACCTTCTTCCACAGGGATGGTCTGTTCGGAGGCTGGAGATGGGGGTGGAGAAGGAGGCAGATTAGCTGTCTCTTCAGCTGCTACAGATCAAACAATGGAGAAATGAGATAACAACAATTAATCCTATTGGGTTAGTGGATCTGTGGGACAGTTCTTCCATTTGTGAAAAGGCCTCTCTAGGAAATTCAGGGAAAGATTCAATAATAACTTTCATTTAACCTATTTTTAGGCCCATTACCTGGTTCACATATTTGATAGACTAAAAAGATAAACATTTCATATTTTTCAAAAAAGTTCTTTTGTCTTCTCCACAAAAATGGGGTAGAGATGGAAGCTAAGATTTTATCATTCATCTCATTAATTTCTGTCTACTTGTTCAAATAATAAGATACCTTATTTGGTCATAATATAGCAAATAAAAACACTTGCAGGTAAGCATTTTAGTTTGGATTAGGCTAGTCTGAGTGAAAAAAAAAATTTTTTTAAATTGTGTTGTCCAAATGCTCTACCTGGAAATAAATGTTACTTTGGTCATTGATAGTTATATTAGCCAACATCTTTTAAAAATAACATTTTGCCCACAGAGTCTAATGTCAAAACCATATTCTGTAAGTACTGTCAGAAAATGAAGCTGGCACGGCCTGAGGCAAGTTTCAGACAGAAACCATGCAGTGGTGGGAGCTGAGTCATCTGCTAGCCTTAGCCCTGCACACAAAGAAGGACAGAGAGAAAAGCTGTAGAAGCTGTAAGTTATTGACAGTGAACTCTACCATTTTCTGCTTAGGATACTGACCTTTGTTAGGACCCACTCCTATGAGGGTATGAAATTTGTAAAGGAAATATTTCCACTTAAGGCTAGAGGTTCATTGTTTTAAAGATCACCTAAATTTCACTTTTATAAACAGTTAGTTAGTAGAGGCAGCTTTGGGATCTCAGATGATTTTTTAAATTCCCCAACACTATGGGTTTCACATGGAGTATTTTATGGTTTCAAATTTTAAAAAATGAGTTTGAAGAAGAATGTTTTATATTAGATATACTTCCCCTCTCTATTTTAAGCAGAAAAATAGTCCTTGATAAACCACTCAGAGAATAGTGTGTATATTCTATAATTATTTTGGGAGAGCAAAATATTTTCAGCCTTTACTTTTTATTAATGATTAGAAAATCAAATGTTGAATGAAGGGAGGGCTGGGGTATGGGGAAAAAATGAGAACCAAGATCTGCCATGTAAAGGTACAAGATCCCAATGATGAATGTAACTGTATTATATACTTAAAAAGTACCCATAAACTCAATGAAAAATAAAAGAAAATCAAATGCTAAGATATATTAGACTATATAAAAGACAAAAATGGATATGTGCTCTTTTTTTAGGGCTTAGAAGCCACACTTTTTTTTTTTACAAATCAGGTATATGTATCTGTGAAATAAACACATGTTGAACCTAAGAGAGTGTCTTTCCTTGTATCTTTTCATGTATATACTTATATGTCTATTTATCTATTTATGTTTCTATCTACCTATGACTGAGTGAGGCAGCAAGCAGTTTTCTCAGGAAACTGAGTGTTTTCTGAGAAACCGTGTGCCACATTACCTGCCTGTCACTGGAAGGCATTTGATGTGTGATCAAGCAAGAAAGCAGCGCTATCTGACTGCCCAGAGGTGAGCTAAGTGGACAGTACTTCATATGTGATACAGAATCACTAAAGAGTCTAACAAAGCTCTATCTCAGGTTTTGTGTAGCCAGTTTAGGGAGACAGAAACAAGACTATGGTGTAGATAATCATTTACCAAAACCCATAAAGGGAAGTAACTACCTCTAACTGGAAATTTCAGGACATTTTCCTTGTGCATTAGTGCTCATGTAATCCTCTAGTGGTCTAGAAAACGAAAAATTACAGGCTACGTAGGGGAACATCTAACTGTAAGCTTACTACTCTAGAAACTGCCAAAATCCCCCAAGGAGCCAATGGAGGAGTGAGGCATCTCAGTAGATGATCAATGAGCATCACACGTAGGACACTGTGCAAGATATAACTTGTCTTTTAACATGAAGACTGTCAGGGTGCAGCAGACCCAACCCTGGATTTGAGGCTCTTCTCCATTTACCTAAAGGCAGAGCTGCAGGTTGTTCTTTGTGCTGAGCTTCTTTCTCTTGTTCACCTTTCAGGACTGCTACAGCCTCAGTTGTGACTACTTGAACTATCCGTGCAGACACCTCCTCTGTAACAAACAGTAACAGTAGAAACTGTAATGAGAAGTTTGAAGCAGGTAGCAAAAAAGGAAAGGTAACCAAACAGTGGAGTAGATTCAAACTTCATTTTGCTCTTTTCACCAAAGCACTACAATACAATTTTTAAAATATAGTTAAAATGTGGGGGTGGGGGGAAGACTGATAAAAGAAAGTTGACATTAACCTGTATGGCATTTTATTTTTCAAAAGTTGTTTACATAAACTAAAACAATTTAATTTCTTTATATTTAATAAAACAAATTAAACAAGAAAAGAGGCTTTATTTTGGATTTAACTGAAAGTATGTTCACAGTCTGCTTACACTGGTCTAGCAAAATCATTCAAACAATGTTATTATGCACACTTGCAGAAACATGATTTAAAATCTGAAGCAATGCCTCAAAAATGTATACCTATGATTAAAGGATCTGAGAAGATAACATTTCAAGGAAACACAATGACATATCAGATGGACTCTTTCTAAAGTATGTCTTTTCTAGTTGGTAGATGTTTTAAAGATTTTTATTTTTAAAGGTCATATGACATACACTCATCTTGAAAGTACAGTAGCTCCATTGAAAACCAGAAAGATCATGACTAAAATAATTACTCAGTGAGCGGCAAAAATAACTAGTTTGGGGCCTGAAATGCTTTTAAAAAGTCAAGATATTAGAATATATTCTTTATTGTAATTTTATTTTAATCCATTGTTACGGTTTGCATCTATATGCACTTTCAAAGCCTCATGTGGTCATAGTTGGGGGTTTTGGAGGTGGCTGGGTCTAAGGTGTGTGGTGTTGGGATCGATTCACAGTGCGATGATGCCAGGATTAAGGGTGTGAGTGTTACCCACCTTTAGGGCAGATAGTCTAGATATACTATAAAGCTGAATCTGTCCCTTGTTGGTTACTTGCTGCTAGCTGCCTTCTGCCTGCCCTGCTTTGCCATGAACTGTTTCTCTTCTGTGATGCCCCTCTGCTAGAAAACTATGAACTGAAACCTCTGCAAATTGTGAGCTACAATAAACCTTTCTTCCTTTAACTTTGGGTGTTGGGTACTTTATTTACTCCAAGTAAATACGATTGATCATCACCACTATTCTGTGAGGGAGAGGCAGAGGAGGAGCAAGGGCTGTGAGTGGTCTTGAGCCCAGGATGTTGGGTGGGGGTCTTCTGAACATTCTTTGAAACTGATGGGCTCCTCAGTGAGAATGAATACTATCAAAAAGGCTACAGAAGAAGGGAAACTCTGAGAGAAGAGGAAGTGAACCAGGAGGAGAGTAAAAGGGAGGGCAAGAAAGGCTAACGGGGGTAGTGGGAATGATGAATGCATTATATGCATGTATAAATATGCTAAAATGAAATTCATTCTGTATAGTTAGTGCACTAAAAATAAAATGAAATAAATGGCTACAGAAAATTAAGTTTGAAAGGAGCTTTTAGAGTTCTAAATTGCTTAACAATATTACCAAAAGAATTATTTGGAGTTTTGAGAATTGTTACACTTATTAATTTTCAGTGCAATCAAAGTAAGTGGCTTCTTCTAACGCCCCAGTGTTTTATAGAAAGTTGGGAGTATTGAGAGCTGGAGCAAGTGCAGTTAAACTGGGGCATATACAGAAGCTTCCTGTCCTCTGGGTCACTCCTGCATCTTCCTACTAGCATTTATGCAAAATTGTACACAAGGCTCATCTCTACTACTAGGTAAGTTCCATGACCAATGACTGTTTCTTTGCTGTTTGCAATTCTTGAAGTTTTCTTCACTGAGCTTAATTCAGATTAGATGCCTAACAATTTTTGAAAGGATGAAAAGTTAACCTGAAAAATTTATTCATATTTATACATCAGAAATAATTCATGTTTACTATGTCTACTGCCTTTAAAGCCCCCAAATCATACCATTTACCATATTACTATTTTAAGAATTTGATATATTTTAGAACAGTGTTTCTTAGGATCTAAGGTGTTTTACACAAATCAAATATTTTTTTAGAATGGAAAGATAATCTAGTATAAATAATGTAGGAATCTGTTGGTTCATAGGAACAATTTATAACTGAGCAGTGTAACATTATTTCAGCCTTTCTGCTTGAGGTTGCATTTAGTTCTGACATCAGCATGAATTATTTTAAGTGTTGAGGAATAATAAAAGAGAAGAAGTACATAAAGGATGCATTCATACAGGTGTAGGCCAAGAAACATCATGGAGTACTGTTTAACTGGGCTTTACAAATACTTTAAGAGAGACAAGTTTAGGAAGGATTTCATTATTACTTACATCTGGTTAATATGGGTGTGAACAAATTAAACAAAATGTACAAACAACCTGCTAGTTATCACATTTCAATTGTGTGAGCTAAATTAGCTTCATCAGAATAATATGTTTATTTTAGACAGATAATTGTAGGAAATTTTAGTCTTTTTTCTGTCTAGAAAAACTAATGTATTTCAGTTATAATTTAATAAGAGATTATAAATAAATATCTTTTATTTTTGTACATATTTAAGAAAAATTCAGAAAATTAACCCAATCTTGGGAGAAATGGTAAATTTTTTTCCTTTAATAAACTTAATAAATTTTGAGAAATGATATTTCAAGAATAGTCTAACAGGCTATGGGGGAGGTTAGTCATATTGGCTTAATTGACATCATGTTCTTTGGAAGGATAAAATTATTAAATCTTTTCAAGTAGGAAATAATACATTTTCTTTAAAAATTTTTATGAAAATTTCATAGTGCATTTAGGGAAACAGCATAAGACTGTTCTGTGGATTTCAATTAGTCTGTCAATTTAAAGGCTTCCTCTAAGCAAGGGCTGTCAAAAGCACTTCAATGATGTAAATTTTCTTTAAAATATTCTCCAAACAGATCTAGCCAGCTGATATTTTGGGTGAATTTCTTCTTTACAGTCAGATTCCTGGGGCCAGAGAAATCATTGATGATTTCAGTAAATTAAGGGAAAGTTAAGGGTAAATGTGCCAAACAAACATGTAAGAGAATGGAAGACAGTAACAGAATCAGACTCTAAAAATAAAAAATGTAGGTTGACGCTCAGAGGTAAGAGTGATTGCCCAGCATACACAAGGCCATGGGTGCAATCCCCAGCACTGGACCCAAACACAAACATAATAATATTTTAAAACCTAGAGGTCATCCTACCTAGATTAGATTGAGTAAAGGCTTCCCTTCCTTATCCATTCATCCATCCATCCATCCATCCATCCAAACATCACACTTTTATGTATAGAGGAGACAACTGACTTCTTAGGGTAGATTAGAAGAAACTGTATAGACTTCAATGCAGAGAAATATGGGTATGAACTTTACCATTGCTACTTTCTAGCTATTCCATCGAAGAATTTTGCTTAAAGGCATTGTGCCCCGAGCCTCACTCACCATATAGAAGTAGCAATAGTAGTATAGTACTGACGGTATGTATCTTAGAGTTGTGGTTGGGACTCGATTACATAATTAGAAAATGGACTTGAAAATCAAAGAGTGCAAATAAAAGGAAGACTTCTAAATAGCTGCTCATCAAGATGTTTATATTTTGCCCTGGTCATACATTCTTCGGGACTTTGTACCTTCACATTAGAGCAACAGTGTCTAGGCCAATGAGGCTGTAAGTTTTATAACAATCTGACAGTACTGCCATCCCACTACTGCTAATGAGGATGGCTACTTTGATGGCCAAGGGAAGTATTTTTTCCAAAACAAAGCTATGAGAGAAGTAAATATTGTCTTCGTTTTCTGTTTTCTGGCTCCATACCATTTCTCTGCCTGGGTAGGTTCTGGGCTACCATCTGCTCAAGATTCTTGCCAGCAAGTCTCAATTCAGGACCATCTTCTAGATGGTCTCTAGAAGGCATGATACCGCCCCCAGTCAATACCTAAGGAAAATCAGCAACACATAACATACCCTTGAAGATAAAAGATTAGAATACACTTTAATAGCTCATTTGCATATTTTCTTTATCTCTGTCCTCTTTTCTACTTTCTATTCTAATTTTTTAGTTTTGCTTTTACCTTCCAAACACATGTACAAAACTGTACATGGGACTTAGTTATTGAGAAGATTAGAGATGACTCTATTATATGTAATTTAGGAAATTATTCATTATAAATAATTAAAAGTTAATATTGATTTTCATAGCTGAAAATATAGTACTGCTTATTCTAGTTGATATTTTGAAAGGTTCAATGAACTTTTAAAATTTTTTTGAAATTAACGTTTTTTTGGTTTACATTAGAAATTATCTTCAAGAGGGTAGCAATATTTTTACTTTCTTTTGTGTACCACAAAATTTTGATTAGCTCCTATAGTCTTCATATTGCAGTAAAAATCTTAAGTGCTTGAATATTAATTTGTTATATGCATTACCTTATCATTAGTATTATGATGGTAATGAGTCAGTTTCTACAACACAAGAATGTTTCATAACATGAGAATAAATGTCATACTAAAGAAAATGAACTATAACTTTGAGTTAATCTAATAAAAAGATCTGCCTGTAAATCATTTGGAAGAAAAATATTAAAAGTAAATTATTTTTCTTAAATTCATCCTCATAACTTCTAAAAACATTATTGATTAGAGGCTGATAGAAGAACAAAGAAAGATACAAATGCAAGGAGCAGAGTAACAGATAATAGCATTATCACCACTATACAAGCAGATGTTTAAAAAGATAAAGTGAAGTCTGTTTTGAAAATTTATGCTAGGCAGCCAGAGATGGGGGTCAGGAGCAAGCCAGTCCTTGGTAGATAAGTTAAAGTCTAGAAGGAAATATTTTTTTTTCTTGATATTAATAAAACACATGCTGGAAGTAAATAAGCTTAAGAAATGAACTGAGATATATTTTCAACTACAAAAGCTACTTAGCAATACCCAAAAGGTATCATACTAAGCTATATATATTTTTTCACTTAAGTAATGAATAAATATCATATTGTATATTATATAAGTTTTTACTAGTCCCTTTACTTTCTT